CTCTGGGTCTGCCTCCTGACTTGAGCCATATCTGTCATCTTCCCATTGACCACACCAGGTTGCTGGAGGAGAACTTGGTGGGGAAATTGTTTCCACCCCTAGTATAGCCTTTATCAGAAGAGAAATGCATCTTATTTAATCCTTGGGGATTCTTAACCACCCCTTGTAGAGTTGTTATCCTTTGAATGTCCTTTATAAACTTTTGTTCTGGTTTTAAAACCTTCTAGAAATGTCTTAGTACCAAACTTAGTTTTCTATCAATTTTTTCTCTGGGGATATGGGATTGACATAAGTCTTGCCACGTTTGATCATTTCTTCAGTCTGTTCTTGTTTATATCTCTTATAGGGTGTGTTATTATTTCACAGACACGTTTTACATGTGGTCAGAATCATTTAGATTTGTCAAAGCCTCTCTCACTTTACAAAGATCTTGTCCCATCAAAGGGCTTAGTAAAGCCATTAAAGCCCCATGCCATTCTCGAGGTCCCAGTTGAATTAAGCTTTCTTTTGTATCTCTGGTGAACACAGTCTCATCTGGTGCAGTGAACTGGACATCTTATATTGCTTTTCTCATACCTAGTTCTCTCAGTAATGCCTGCCCCTCTCTTATGGTCCTCCAGCCCCTACTAATCATGTTAGTCTCCCTTGGTGACAACCATGTATCTTTAATGCCTTCAACCAGCCATCCCATTAAGGACTGCTCTCCCCTGCATTGGCCTAGGTTGAACAGCCTATGTTGTAAGGATGGATGGGTGGTTATATAACTCAGCTGTGAAGCTTCTGAAGGACTTAGACTGATGTCATTTGCTCCCATGTCCCACACTCTCACAAGCCACGTGGCCAGGAGCTCTCTGCTTGCTTGCTTGCTTGCTTGTAAGTTTCTCCTAGCTTTAACACTTCCAGCATGGAATATTTCCTAGCTATACTATAGTACAGTTAGCTTTTTTTTCCTTTTTACTATTATCTGTCTTTTTCTCTGAGTCCTTGAACTTTACACAAGTCAAAGTGTCTGGCCTTTCCTCTGTCTCCAGCTCGGCACCTAGGTATGTCTTTTCAGCTTTTCCCCCCTGGGGCATATCTTTTATCATGCAAAGTGGCTGCTCTATTTTTCTGGGAGCTCCCTTTGGGTCAAGAGCAGATAAAAGATCTTCTAACTTTTGGGTAACTTTTAACAAATCTTCACATACCCACACATATCCCTACATTTACAACATAGCTGTGGCCCCTGCTTTTGTGTGGCTGTCCTCTTTTTAGTAACCCATTGCAAAAACCACATCAGTGCCACCATTAGAGCTCTACTAAAACTCATTCTCAGTTTCATCATATCCTGCTGACTATGCCAATTCTGTGGCCCAAATTCTTTCTGGGTCTCCTGCACGATCAGACAAACCATATAATATATTTTATGTGTATTTATTAACCTACAAAGGAATGAGTACCCAGTGCCTAGCCCTGCACCACTCCTCAAAGCCCGCCTTATCAGACCGTGCCACGCCCATAATTCGCTCATGCCTCTGGGGCCAGTGATCACCCCAGATCCATTAGAAGTCAGTCCATTCTATCTTTCAGCTGTTGTGCATGGCATTCCCACGGCTCATGCGCTTCCCCAGGCTTGCAGCTTCTCCAGCTTGGCTCAAGGCTTCTATTCCAAGGTGGCTCCCAGCCACAACCCCCTAGTCCACACTCTGTGGCAGGCCCTACCCATTGGAGGAACTAGCCAATCGGGAAACAGGCCCTGTTTCAAAAAAGAAAACAAAAAGTGTATGTGGGTAGTGGGGGCAGTGGTTGTGGGTATATTAACATTTCTGCATATCAGGTATGTAATTTTAAACATGTAGCCACCAATGACTAAGGACAGAGGCTGTACCTAATAAGATTTACAGGCTCCTTCTTGCTCTATACCCAGGATTCTGATTACCTGCATAGTACTCATCTATAGGAACACATACTTGCAGATGTAGGAGATTTACTCCTTCATATTTGGAGCACTCTGTCCTTCAACCATTCTAAATAGTTGAGAGTGGTATGTTCTTAGAGGACATTTGGCCCTTCATGATAATATGATGCCCCAGTCTCTTGGTGAACTTTGATTTAATAAAGGATTTATTGTTTAAAGGAAACCACAAGTGAAAGCAATCACCAGGATACAGTAGCCGTTCATTCTACGAAGGCAGGTAAGAATTTGAAAGTAATGTGGGATTATATGCATTTGAATGTAGGGATTTGAAATGGAAGAGTGATTGTAATTGTCCACAGAGCTCCTAGAGAGGAGAGCACTGAAATGGAGAGGATTGTAGATGTAAAGTCAGAGTTCCTGTGGCATCTTCAGAGTCAATCAGGAGCAAAGTGACAGAAGTCATTGAGTCAGATCCAAACTAATCAGTACTTAAAGTCATCATGCAGCAAGATGAACTCCAGACATCTGGAAATGGAGTTAGGAAATTAGGATGTTAGGGTGTCCTAATAAGCACACATTATGACTCAGTTCCATTGTCAAATTGGAGACTTGTACACATGATCCCTACAGTCAGATGTCGAAAGACCTGAGAGGATCCCAAATGGAGGTCATGGACAGTGGAGGAAGGTCCTAGTCCATCCACAGCTGACAGGTAGAATCATGTAGGAAGACATGGCAGCATTAGGACTGCGATACTGAATGTGCATCCAGCTGGGCCTCCCTTCTCTCCACAGAGGCGGCTCAGAGTGAAGCCCCTTGGTTTCAAGAGGCCAAGAGTCTGAGTGAGCAACTGCGAGCAGCCTACATCTCTGCCAGTTTCCGACGCTTGTCTTTACCTGACATCTGCCCCAGCCTACGCACTGACCACTTGCTGGGCTGTGACCTGTCCATTGTTTCAAAGCACATCAGCAGGCCTGTGCAAGAGGTCCTGGTGCTGCCCGAGATCCTTGCCAACTTGAACTCTGTCATGTGTGTGGAGGGGGAAGCTGGCAGTGGAAAGACAGCCTTCCTGAAGAAAATTGCTTTTCTCTGGGCATCAGGATGCTGCCCCCTGTTGAACAGGTTCCAGCTGGTCTTCTACCTCTCCCTTACTTCTACCAGACCAGACCAGAGCCTGGCCAACATCATCTGTGACCAACTCCTCAAGGCAGAAGGCTCTGTTTCTGAAGTGTGCCTGAGCAGCAGCATCCAGCAGTTAAAGCATCAGGTGTTATTCCTTTTGGACGACTTTCATGAAATGAGCTCAGTCCCCCAAGTCATAGAAAAACTGATTGAAAGGAACTACTTGTCACGAAACTGCTTGTTGATTGCTGTCCATACAAACAGGGTCAGGGATATCCGCCCATACCTAGATACCATCCTAGAGATCAAAGAGTTTCCCTTCTATAACACTGTGTATGTATTACGGAGTTTCTTCTCACATAATATAACACATCTGCAAGAGTTCATGGTTTATTTTGGAAAGAACAAAGGTTTACAAGGAATCCACAGAACTCCCCTCTTTGTGGCAGCAGTCTGTGCTCACTGGCTTCAAAATCCTTCTGACCCACCCCTTGATGATGTGGCTCTTTTCAAATCCTACATGGAATGTCTTTCCTTAAAGCACAAAACTAGAGCTGAGCTTCTCAAAGCCACTGTGTCCTCCGGTGGTCAACTGGCCTTGAGAGGGCTTTTTTCATCTTGCTTTGAGTTTATTAGTGATGACCTCAGAGAAGCAGGAGTTGATGATGATGAGGATCTGACCACCTGCTTGATAAGCAAATTCACTGCCCAGAGACTGAGACCAGTCTACCGGTTTTTAAGTCCTGAGTTCCAAGAATTTCTTGCTGGGATGAGGCTGATTGAACTCCTGGGTTCAGATAGGCAGGAAGACCAAAATCTGGGACTTTGTTATTTGAAAGAAATTAACTCACCCATGAAGGTTATAAATTTCTTCAACAATTTTTTGAAGTATGTCTCCAGCCACCCTTCTGCAAAGGCAGGGCCAAAAATTGTATCTCATTTGCTTCAGCTGGCAAATGACAAAGAGTCATTTAAGAATATACCTGAAAATGAGGATTATCAGAAACCTAATCCAGAAACTTCACCATGGATGCAGCTCATACAAGAGTGGTGGCAGGTTTCTCCGGAAGCTTTCTCTTCATTCATTTCAGAAACTTTAGTGGCCATTGCTCTAAACTTTGCCTGTCAAAGCAACACAGTTGCTGCATGTTCTCCAGTTATTTTACGGTTCCTTCAAGGGAGAACACTGACTTTGAGATTATTGAATTTACAGTACTTTGGGGACCACCCAGAAAGCCTGTCAGTGCTGAGGAGTATCAAGATCTCCATAAATGGAAATAAAACTGCACCTAGAGTAAGTTATTCAGATATGGAGAAATGCTTTGAAACCCTACAGCCACCAACTATAGATCAGGACTATGCATCTGCTTTTGAACATATGAATGAATGGGAGGAAAATGTTGCTAAAAATGAAGAGAATATAAAGAACTTTAAGAATATCCAGTGCAAGCCCCCACCATGCCTCAGTGGGGGCTATTGGCAACTGTCTCCCAAGCAGTACAAGATCCCCTGCCTAGAAGTGCACGTGGACAACATGGGTCCAGCAGACCAGGAGATGCTCCGGGTCCTAATGGAAGTTTTCTCAGCTTCACAGCACATTGAACTCCATTTATACCACAGCACTGGCTTCATTGAAAGCATCCGCCCAGCTCTGGAGCTGAATAAGGCTTCTGTCACCAAGTGCTCCCTGTGCCAACTTGAGCTCAGTGCAGCAGAACAGGAGCTGCTCCTCACCCTGCCTGCCCTGCGGTCTCTAGAGGTCTCAAGGACAAACCAATTACAAGGTATGCTGAGCATATTTTGCATAACCATTCTGGTGTGACACTCTATTTTTTTAATTTTAGGTGAACGAAACTTGAAGCACCAAAACCATAAATGTTCTTTGATAGAACAGATCAAAAATTGCATTTTATTGTTTGGAAATCAGTAATATAAACTATTGAAAGGCTCCTGAGTAATAGAATGAATTTCAAATAACTGAACAAAATCAGCAAAACATTAATGTTATATTTCATTACTCAAGGTTCTTAGTAAGCATACATGAATTACTTGTTATTAGTAAATGACAACATATGTGAAAGATGATACTGGAGAGTCACCTGCACCCTTACTACTACCTAAAGGAGGAGATGGTTTACCTTCTCCAGAAAACTCAATGTAAAAGTTGGAAATAATATTTCCCATTTATTTTTTAAATTCTTATTAGTATAGTTTGGGTTTCAGCAGTCTGTTATAAGCTTAGATGTCCTTAGGCACCCTCAGCTGCTATGAATGCATGAGTGTAGTGGTCCTGTCATGTCCAGAAGGCACTGTTTGAATCTTGTCCTCCCAGACAGATCTCTGGCTCTTACAGTCTTTCTGCCTCTTCTTTCCCAGTGGTCCCTGAGCTTTTAGAGAGAACAGGTGTGATCTAGATGTTTGACCTTTTGAGGAACTTACAAAGTGTGTTCCATGGAGGCTATCCCATTTTGCCTTCCCAATTGTAATATGTAAGACTTCCAATTTCTCTATATTTTCCTCCACCTTAGTTTTTCTTTTTCTTTGTTTTATCAGAAACACATTCTAATAAATCAGTGTTATGTCTTGTAGTTTTGATTTAAATTTCCCCAGTGAGTGGATATGAGCATATTTTCATGTGCTCCTGAGGTTGTTTGTATATGGTTTTTTGATAAATGCCTATTCAAATTCTTTGTCCATTTAAAAAAATTTGGCTAGGTATGGTTGTTCACACTTGTAATTTTGGCACTCCAGAGGCTGAAACAGGAGGATTTCCATGAGTCTGAGGCCACCCTTGACTACACTGTCAATTCTAGGACAGTGTCCTGATTACTTATTGTTAACCTAATATAACCTAGAGTCACCTGGGAAGAGAAAACCTCAACTGAAGAATTAACTCAGATTGGCCTGTGGCCATTTCTGTAAGGAATAACTATTGATGTAGGAGCACCTAGGCCACTGTGGGCAGCACTATCCCTATGCAAGGTGGCTGAATAAGAAAGCTAGAAGACAGCAAGCTAGAGAGCCCCCTGGGAAGCAGCATTTCTCCATGGTTTCTGCTTCAGTTCCTGACTGAGTTCCAGTGCTGACTTCACTTGGTGATGGATTATTACCTGGAAGTGTAATCCAAATAAACCCTTCCCTCTCCCTGAGTTGCTTTCCATCAGAGTGTTTTATCATGGTAACAGAAATGCAAACTAGAATAGGTATCCTGGATGACCTTAGGAGTTCTGGGCCAGCCTAGGTTATAGACTGAGATCTTGTCTAAATAAAAAACAAACAAACAAACAAAAAACAATATTGTTGGGGCTGGTGGAATGGCTCAGTACTTAAGAGCCCTGACACTCTTGTAGAGGACCTGGGTTCGGTTCCCAGCACCCACATGGTGGCTAACAACTGTCTGTAACTCCAGTTCCAGGGGATCCAGTGCCCTTTTTGGACCTCCGTGGACATTACACGACATGGGTGCACTTACATACATGCAGGCATAACTTATACACATAAGATAAATAATAAATAAAATGTTTTTAAACAATATTGATCTGTTGTAGGAATTCTTTGTATATTCTGTATATTAAACTCTTATGTTTCAAGGGCGATATCTCACAGGTAGATATGCAAGGTCCTGAGTATGGTCCCCAGCACAGAAAACAAAAACAGAAACAAAAACAAAACCCTAGTGAAGCCTGAGCCAGGCATGGTGGTACACACCTTTGATCCCAGCACTAAGGAGGCAGAGGCAGGCAGACCTCTCTGAGATGGAGGCCAGCCTGGTCTGCATAATGAGTTCCAGGCCAGCTGTGGCTGCAGGGCGACCCTGTCTCAAAATGACCACAGACACAAAAAAACTAGTAAAACCCTTATCAGACATATGGCTTGAAAAATATTGTGTACCATTCTACATATAGTCATTTCACATTATGTAATGTTTTAATGTCCTCTGATGTACAAACAATAGTTAATCTTGATGAGGTCTAATTTAACTAATGTTTTTGCTAGGCCTTATGTCATATCTTAAAAACCATTGCCAAATACAAGGTCATGAAGATTGCCTGTTTCTTTCTAAGACTCTGTGATATCAGCACTTACATTTGTCATTGGCCCACTTTGAGTTGTCCTTTTTTTAATGAGTGGGAGGTAGGAGTCCAACTTCACTCTTTTGCATATGCAAAACCGGTTGTCCCCACATGGTTGAGGAGATGTCTGATTTATTCTGTGGTCTACGGAGCGGCACAGGGCTTCCCATAGAGTCTGCAATCAGCAAATGCTGCAGACAGCAGTGTCTTCATGCGTGTGCTTTCTGAACAGATGCTCTGATATCTGAGAAGCTTCATTTCAAAATTGTGAAACTAGCTGACGAATCACAGTAACACTTCAGCATTTCCATTTGGAACCCTTCAGTGATGGGAAACTGTGTGCTGCCTTCCAGATCTCATCCTTCCTAACTTGGACAAGTTCCCGTGCCTGAAAGAACTGTCTGTGACACTACATGGCAAAGCAGACGTGCTGTCAGTCATTCCTGAAGAGTTCCCAAACCTCCACCACATGGAGAAATTATCCATCCAAACTTCCACTGAGTCTGATCCCTCCAAACTAGGTAAGAATAGCACTTGGATTTCCTTGTTTGCATTTTAGCTGAAAAAGCTAGTTGTCTAACAATCTGTGTCAGAGTTTAAACTTCCGTGGGTCTGAGAGTGTAGACAGTGCCCATGGAAAAGTGTGAGAACAGTACTCTCATTAAGAAAGCAGAGATTTATTTGTAAACCTTGAGTCTTGCTCGTGTTAGGAACTGCAATAAGCACCTTTTAAAACTGACTTCATCTCACACTCGTGTGAAATAAGGTACTATTATTATTGCTGTTTTGCAGCTTGGGAAATTAAGGTTAGTGATTTGTTCAAGTTTATCCAGCCAGGAGGCTGCATATTCAGACACAGAAGGTTTGACTCCAAAGTCTGAGCTTTAAACTCCCAATACGCTTCCTCCCTAAAATAGCTCATAGAGTTCTTTTCTTTCGGTTTTGTTTAAGCTGCTCTTCCATTGCAACTCACAGATTTGCTGCTAAGAGAGAAGGGAATCTGATGGTGACAATCTGAGCCACTTCCCCACTTCTCCCCAGCCCAGACTCATGACAGATAAACAACTTGTGCAGTCCTGTTTCTAGCTACATCATTTAGCAAATGACTAAAGCACCATCAGCCCTTTGATTTGGTAAACACCTTTGGAACACCAAGGACTAAGGAAATGTAAACCTGGAGCTGATGGGCAAACAGTTGTTGAGGCAGGGCATGGTGTCTTATGCCTATAATCCTAGCACTTGGGAGGCTTAGGCGGAAGGACTGCCCTAACTTCAAAACCAACCTGGCTATGAAGTGAGCTCCAGAGCAGCCCAAGCTATAGTGTGAGATTCTGTCTTAAAAAAGAAGCATACAAAGAAAGTTTTACAGGCCACTGAGATGACTCAGCAGGTAAGGGCACAAGCCTGATAACCTGAGTTCAATGTCTAAGACACATATATTGGAAGAAGAGAATGGATTCCTCCAACTGTCTTCTGACCTCCATAAGTGCACCATGGCACACGTGTGACCCCCCCCCATCCCCTGACATACACACACTAAATTAATTTAATATTTTTAAAATTTTGTGCATCAGAGTTGTCCTTCCTAATATGTTACTCCATATAGAATTCTCGTTGCAAAATGCAGGTCACAAACACAGAGACACTAGGATGCTAACGCTGAAGCTGACTTTGCTGAGCCCTTCTTTTGAGAAGAAACTGATCTCCAGAGAGAGTCAGTAACTTGTCCAAATTCAATGGCTCACTAGTCACTTTCAGAACCTGAGCATAAGTCCAGAGTTCTGAATATTTGATCATTACATCATGGTGCCTTATTTTAATTCAATATGGTTGGAACTACTGAATTACAAGACTAATTTTGATAAAAATGCAAAGGATTTTCTAATTTCTGAAAAATCCTTGATCTTTTGCAGTCAAATTGATCCAGAATTCTCCAAACCTTCAAGTTTTCTATCTGAAATGTGATTCCTTTTTGGATTTTGAGTCTCTCATGACTGTACTTGCTTCCTGCAAGAAACTCAAAGAGATTGGGTTTTCTCAAGGATGTTTTCAAGCCGTGCCATTTGGTAAGAACTGTCACCTTACAGTTTGGGTTGAGATGCTCCTGCACACAATGATATTAAGTACTCTAGAAAGAACCACCATCTAAAACTACAACTGACATCAAAGAACTGTAATGGCACCTGACCTTCAGTGATGTTTTCGTAGTAATGAAGAGTATTTGTGTCTATAATTTAAACATTTTAGTTTTCAGAATTATTTTCTGAGCCAACATGTTCTCTCCATTAGCCATACTCATTCGGGCTGAAAGAGCATATTCATTTTCACCACGTCTTTATTGTAAAATTATTACTCTTGGTTATTAGGCAGGTATCTGACATGACTAATTTTTATTTTCTCTTTTATAGTCAGCATTTTGCCAAATTTTATTTCTCTGAAGATACTAAATCTTAAAAGCCAACAATTTCCTGATAAAGAAACATCAGAAAATTTTGGTATGTTTACAAAACAGTCGTTTTTAATTTATTATTTATCTCCCCGCCCCCAGTCAACCCACAACAAAGCAAACTATGCAGAGCTGCCCTTGACATCCATGGGGATTGGTTCCAGGATCCCCTGCTGATGCCAACTATGCAGAGCTGCCCTTGACATCCATGGGGATTGGTTCCAGGATCCCCTGCTGATGCCAACTATGCAGAGCTGCCCTTGACATCCATGGGGATTGGTTCCAGGATCCCCTGCTGATGCCAACAGAAGATACTCAAGTCCATTATATGAAATGGTGCAGTGTTTGCATATGACCCCCACAGCCTCCATATATTTTAAACAACACCTAATACAATGTAAGTGCTGTGTAAACAGTTGTAACACTCTACTGTTTAGGTAATAACAATGGAAAACTTACATAGTGGACACAAACAAATTATTTTAAAAATTCAGTTTGTGGCTAGTGGAACATTCAATACAGAAGGTCACTATCTAGGTAGGCTGATCCTTAGGAGGACACCATGGTGATGGTTAGTCTCACCCTCAGATGCTGTCACTATTATTCCCACACATCCTCACCCTTGATCTCATTCAAAGCAGTGTTCTCAGACTCACTGACTTCTTAAGATGAGTGTTTAGCCATGGCAATGTCACTGTTAGGCATCCACTCCAATAAGTTGTGTCCTTTCTGTTTCAAAGATTTCTGGAATATACCTTAAGACTTCTATTTAAGGTTAAGAAAACTAATTATATGATAGCCCAGATTCAACAAAATGATAAGGATAGGAAGATAGAAATTTTTTATTTTAAAAAAATGATTACAAAAGTAATATGGTTTCATGTAAAATGCTAACAGATATTTAAAAAAAAAAAAAAAAAGAGGCAATGGAGGTTTGGGGCACAGAGCTGTATCTTCACAGTGCTTCTCAGACTTTAATGTGCATAAGGATAGCCTGGTTCTCCCTCTCCTGTCTCTTCCTCTTCTAAAGAGGCAGCAGCTGCGTGTGTGTGGTTTGTGTGTTGTGGGTGTGATCAGGTATGCTAAGGCAGCGAGGACAGGTCACACAACAAAGAGGTAATTGGCATGTACCATGGGTTAATATACAAATAACACATTTCCATATAATGAAAGCCAAGTTTCCTCATTACATTCCTCCTCATTGCTGGAGAAGGAATTTACAGATATTGAAAAGGAGACTGATCGGCCCACACCAGCCCCAGATCTAAGGAAGCAACTCTGCAGATTCCTGTGTCCAGCCTGGGAACTGCCCTGTTTTATGAAGTGGACTTGTTCTTCCTGTTTAAAATTAGTGCCTAGGAATTGTCACAAAGTGAATTTGAGAAGAGATTTCCTCATGGAATTCTGCCCAAATTGCAGATTTATGTGTACAACAAATGTCAGAATGAAGGCTAGTAAGATGGCTTAGAGAGAAAGGTGCCTGCCACCAAGCCTGAAGACTTAAGCTCAATCCCCAGGATCTACAAGGTGAATCCACTTCTGCACATATTTACTTTGTTCCCACCATATGCCAGGCACCCTGTGCTGCAAGGGTTCTGGGAGGAAAAAGTATCTGCTCTTAAGAGGGAAAGGCTTAAGGATTATTGGTCGAAATCCACTTGAGATCCAAGTTCTAAAAGTCTTTGAGGCTGGAGAGGTGACTCAGGAGTTAAGAGCACTTGCTACTCTTGCAGAGGTCCTGGGTTTGGTTCACAGCACCCATAGGAGTCACCAATGGTGACTCACGACCTTCAGTTCCTGGAATCTGATGCCTTCTTCTGGTGTGTCACAAGAAGGAGGAGCAGACGTGGGAAGGAAGGTGTGCAGGATAGCTTTAGTGTCAACTTGACACACCTGGGTTGAAGGAGCCTCAATTGGGGAATTACCTCCATTGGACTGGCCTGTGGTCATGTCTGAGGGGCATCTTCTTGATGAGCGATGTGGGAGGGCCCAGCCCACTGTGGGTGATGCCACCCCTGGGCAGGTGGGCCCATGTAGCATAAGAAAGCAGGCCGAGCAGGGGCCAGGGGAGCAAGCCAGTAAGCAGCATTCCTCCATGGCCTGTGCTCCAGCTCCTGCTTCCAGGTTCCTGTTCTGAGTTCCTACCTTGGGCTCCCTGATGAACTGTGACCTGGGAGATGTAAGCTAATAAACCTTTCCTCCCCAAGTTGGTATTGGTCAGGGTGTTTTGTCACAGCAATGAAAAACAAACAAGAACAGAAGGCTATCCAGAGTGGTGGATCCTGATGTAACACCCGGTGTGGGTCTCCTCGTAGTGGAATCACAGAAGAGGGAATGATGGAGGGAAGTGGGATGGAAAGGGAGGGAGCTGAAGGCACTGTGGAGCTAGGAGGAGAGTGAGCTGCAGCCAGTGGAAGCCTGGCTGTGCAGGAGGAACTAGAGATGGAGAGGCAGCCTGCACTTGGGTGAAGAGAGACAGGCCAGGGAGGGTGAGGAGCTGTCCACAGAGAGCAGCAGGCAGCAGGTGTGTGCTGACCCCTCTCTCTTGCCCTTGGAGACAGGGATGGGGAGGCTTCTGCTGGGTGGGGCCTCCTAGACTGCAGTCTCTAGCTCATCAACTCCTTACCCACAGGAACTGCTACAGAGAATGGCTTTGTTGTCTCCCACAGCACACACTCTAGGTTCTCTCAGGAACCTGGAGGAGATGCTCCTTCCCCATGGGGACGGGATTCATCACGTGGCCAAGCTGATTGCCAGGCAGTGTCTACAGCTGCAGAGTCTCCGAGTTCTCTCCTTTCACTACAGTTTGGATGATGACAGTGTGATGGAAATCGGTGAGTTTCCTCAGAAAGACGGTTCTGTTTGTGCAGAAGCCAGTGGCATCATTGGAGCTATCTGCTCCAAGTCTATGAAAACATCTGGCCCTCCAAACTGTTCTGCCTACTTCCTCACTTCCTCTACCCTGTAGATTCCTCTTCTGCTTTGTGTAGATTTAGGTTCATCCTAATCAGACTGGGAAGGTCAACAAGCCTCTGTGTTGAGACTATAGAAGCCATCGAATCTGTGTTTTTGTTTTTGTTTTCCCAGAGCTAGGATTGAACCCAGGCCTCACTCATCTATGCTAGGCACATGTTCTACCACAGAGCCACACCCCAGTCAGGTCTGTATTCTGGCACACAGTGTTTCAGACACCTGGCCAAATACTCTCTGTTAATTGGACATTAATAATAGGTATAGGAAAATGGAAAATATAAAGCATATAGCCAAAGAACTTTCTCAGGTCACACTCTTTAAAAATCTTTTTTCCAAGTATGAGTAACTATCACTCAGATTAGAAGTCTGGTTCAAATTCCAGTACCACAAAAATAAATCATAAATAAATAAATCTCTGCTAACTTTCTACTTTATATTTCTATTTTTGCTTTATATTTCTTCAAGCTAGGTGTATAACTAATTTACAGCTGTAAGATCTTTCTGGCAGATCGGCTCTCTCATCTGTAGTAGGACTTCCTCCTTTACACTCGCTTTCTCATATACTAATATAGATATTCAGAATTCTCTTTTAACATTTAATATTTTTATTTATATTTTATGAGTGTTTTGCCTGCATTCATGTAAGGGACCCATGTCATGCAATGCTCATGAAGGCCAGAAGAGGACATTGGATTCCTTGGAACTGGAGTTAAGGACGGTTGTTAGCTACCATATGGATGCTGGGAACTGAACCTGGGTCCTCTGCAAGAGCAGCCAGTGCTCTTAGTCTTTGAGCTATCTCTCCAGCCCCCTCTAGCATTCTTTTGGTGTCTTTTTTTTTTCCTTCCTTTTGCTTTTAACTTTTCTATGCCTCACAATTTAAGATGAGTCCTTATACAGTTGCATAGTTAGGTTTTAAAAATCCGATCTGGGTTAGAGGTGTTGCTCAGCTGGTAAAGTGCTTGCTTAGCATGCATGAAGTCCTGAGTTTGATCCCCAGCCCTGCATAAAACCAGGCATAGTGATGCACACCTGTAATCCCAGCACTCAGGAGATGGAGGCAGGAAGATCAAGAAGTTCAAGGTTGTCCTTAGCTACATAGTAATTTGGAGGCCAGTATGGACTACATAAGACTCTGCCTCAAAGAATCTACCCCCCCCCAAAAAATACCACACCAAAATAATACATAAATTAATAAAAAAAAATCTGGTGCTATAGAAATGGCTTACCTATAAAATGCTTATGTGGAAGCTTGAACTGTTTGATACCTAGCACCCACCTAAAAGTTGGACACAGAGATGTATGCCCATAAACCCACGGGCTGCGGAGGTGAGGGCAAGAGAATCCATGGGGCTTGACGGCCAGCAGTTTGGTAAACTCCAGGTTTAATGAGAGACCTATCTCAAAAAGTAATTGTGGAGAACAGTTGGGGAAGATGCCCAACATTGACCTCTAGTCTCTACATGCACCTCTACATACATAGGCACTTATAAATACACACACACACACACACACACACACACACACAATTTAAAAATGCTACTTATCATTTAATCTATTTTTATTTAATGTGTTTAACTATTGCAGTTGAAGTTATATATTTTTTTTCTGAGATATGGTCTCACAATTAATAGACCAGGCTGTACTCAAACTTACTGTGTAGCCCATGCTGGCCCCAAACTTGTCATCCTCCTGCATTAGCCTCCGCAGTGCTGAGATTACAGGCATGTGTTGGCCACTGTACATTTTAATTTAGTATTTGTTTCTTTATTTGCCCCAGGGAATATTTTTTTTTCCTATCCATTTTGCTTCCGACACTTACTAGTTTATTATAGTTAAACAAATTCTGTAGCCCAGGTTGGCCTCAACTTATTACTTAGTTCAAGTTGGCCTTGAGTTTGTGGCCCCTGTCCTGCTTCTGCTTCCAAATGTGAGCACTTCAGGCATGTATGACCATGCCTGGGCTAGTGCTGCACTCTTACTCTTTCAGAATTATCTTGTGTAGTGCAATTTGCATCTTTGAATAACAATATAAATGTGTGCATAAATGAATACTTTTACCACTTTATGAGTGAGACAGGTACCCCTAGAACAGTTCATGCCATTTACATAAGCAAATAAGGTTGCTTAGTGGGTAATCAGCCAAGACTGATGACTTGAGTTCAATTCCCAGAACCCACATGGTGGAAGGAAGAAACCATATCCCTCAAATTGTCTTTTCACACACACCACAGCCCCAGCTAACTATGCAATGTGATGTAGAGAATAAAGCAAAACAGAGGAAAGCAAGCAATGGATGGGGAAGGCCCGAGCTTTTCCTCAGTCCCCCAGAGGAGTCTTTCAGCTGAGAGAATGAGAACATCCCTTGAGTATCAACTCAAGATACCTACTCAGAACATAGCTGAGACATTTTCTTAGGGTCTCTGTCTTAGAACTCAAGTTCCAGCATGATTCTGGGGTGACAGCAAACCTAACCTTTGTCCAGATTATGGAAAAGTGGTTTGACAGTTAAAAATGAAACAAAAACTGTACTAAGTCTCCACTTCCAAGGTCAAGGACCTATGTTAATTGAGAACTTATCTTGTGCCTGGCTCCATTTTCACCAGAGCCCCTCCTCTCAGTAACTGGGGAGGCCCTTCTGGGCAGCAGGGGAAGGGTACCATTGTAGACAGGGAGAAGACAAGCTTTTAGGAATGTCATGTTTCCTTCTCTGAGAAAAGGGGGATGACATGATTGCCACAATTCTGAGTCCCTTGTAATTTAATGTTTCTTAGGCATGATAGGCCTTGACTCAGGTCCTCCTAAGAGATCAATTTCTGGTTTCTACTTTTCCCTTGGATGTGGGTTGGGTGGTTCTCTATCAAACAATCAGCTCTTTGGAGGGTTTTAAAGAACTGTCTTAAAAATACCATAGTGAAAATTTCCTAATTTCAATGGAGATGAGTGTGGGGTTGGTACAAATAACCTTCTTACCACTATTGAGGTCCTTAGGATTCTGTTTTCAAAATCTTTTGTTTTTGCAGCCAAGGTGGCAATCAGTGGAGGCTTCCAGAAACTTGAGAACTTAGATCTTTCACTGTGTCACAAGATCACAGAGGAAGGGTACAGAAATTTCCTTCAAGCCCTAGACAACCTGTCAAACTTGCAAGAGCTGAACATTTCCAGGCATCTCCCAGAATGTATGAAAGTTCAGGCCGCCACTGTCAAGGCCCTGAGTCAGTGTGTGTTGCGACTGCCAAGGCTCAATAGTCTGAAAATGTTAAGTTGGCTCCTGGATGAAGAGGACATGAAGCTTCTTAATGCTGTGAAAGAAAGACATCCTCAGTCTAAACGCTTCATTATTTTCTGGAAATGGGTCCTGCCATTCTCTCCAGTCATTCAGAAATAAAAGGTGCCGCTGAGGACTACCGGACCAAGAAATTTTGTCAGCAGTTCTGAAACCTTGATCTTTTCTTAAATCTTTGTTGTTGTTGTTGTTGTTGTTGTTGTTGTTGTTGTTGTTGTGTTGTTGTTGTTTTTCTCCGGTCTCCCAAGTCCCAGTCCACTTAGAAGTTAGTATGTGGCCCAGGCTAGCCTCAATCTTACAGAGATCCACCTGCCTCTGCTTCCCAAGGGCTGGGATTAAAGCACGCACCACCACTCCAGCATCTAAAACCTTAATCTTGAAAAACATTTTACTCCTGCCAAGCATGATGGCACACACCTTTCATCCCAACGTTTAGGAGATGGATGCAGGAGATCAACAGGTTGAGACTAGTTTGGGTTACAAGATATTGCATCAAAAACTAAAATTTAACTATTGTACAAAGAGAATGTTCATAAACTCTGTGAGGCTCATAATTTTTAAGAAGCTTGCATGCCCATCATTGAGCTTAAGAGCTATCATGAGCAGTACCTTCATAGTCCTTGTGTGGGCCTTCTGTCATCAGGTTCATACAGCGAACCCTCCATTATCAAGGTCATCAGGGAGAGGCTTGGAAAAGGAATAGGGGCCTATGTAAAAGCCATATCATGGAAGGAATGTTCAAATTTAGGTAAAGATTTAAGGTTTTGTTTGGCTCCACACATGAGGAAACACGAGTTGGCTTTACCATAAGATGCAGATGTCTCTCTTTTCGGGGGCATACTCTTTAGTCTTTGTAGGTCGTTTTTGTATATTGCACTTTCCTCGATCTGAGAGAGCTTGCTTGTAGCATCTCTTTTTCCATTGCCAGTATGAGCAACAAATTAAGTTCATAGAAAATGGCTTCTGTTTCAGAGCCTTCTAAGAGTTTCACATGTGCTATAATGGACTTACAATTTTCTTAAAATCCACTCTTACATGTATATGGTGTAATCCCATAAGTTTTTAAAAACATTGTTTCTGGATGCATTAAGTATTTCAGGGTATGTTAATTAATTTAAGATGATCATTTACCACTTCATTGTGTGTATTAAAACCTCACCTGTATACCTATATTGGTATGCCTTAAATATTATGTGCTTTTTATCTATCAGTTATGCCTCATGAAAGCTGGGGTAAAGAAGACTTCTGGGGGCCGGAGAGGTGGCTCAGGAGTTAAGAGCACTGACTGCTCTTTCAGAGGACCCGGGTTCGATTCCCAGCACCCACATGGAGGCTATGAACCGTCCTTAACCCCAGTTCCAGGGGAATCTGAAGCCCTCTTCTGACCTCTGCGGAATTGCACGACATGGGCATACTCACATACATGCAGGCAACACGCTCATACACACAAAATAAAAATAATAAATAAAATATTTTAAAAAGAAAGAAAAAAAAAGACTTCTGAACAGATTTAAATACTAGGTTAACACTGTTTTCTCAAGGGAGCAGGCAGAAGGAGCTCTTGTTTCTCATTCTCTCCCTTCTATGCCAGCTTTTGTTTTACAATTGTCTGTATTTTTTGTTTTGTTTGTTTAGTTTTTTAGTTTTTAACAGACACTTTATTTTCATTAGTATAAACAAAAGTTCATTGAAAAAATAATAAACATTACTTCAGTCAACTTTTCTAAGTCCAAAGAGTAAGACCTCTGAATTAATATTTACATTTTGCCTTAAGTGTTGCAAATTCCATCCATGTCAACTTGAGAATTTTAATTTTGTCTAGTTCTGTAGTATTTCTTCTAAGAAATACTTGTTCAGTAAAGCCTTAATTTTTACTATCCAACCATTTTTTAAAAAATCTCACTCTCTGACTTCACACAATCCAGACTGTTCAATGGATTTGTAATAAATTTCCAAACTGAAGGGAAATTTCTTGCTCATTGTCTGCCTGAAATCTTGGCTCATGTTCATCTTTTGAAATAGAAAATAAGCTCCAGAAACACCCACAAATTCAGCAACGAAAACTCTAAAGATCTTCCTTGCCAGTGGTTCCATGGTGTGGACCATCCTAGATTTTTCTTAAAAACACGTGCATATGTTACATTACTGTACTTCAGGAGAGTGTTTCTATACTCCACATGGGGGAGAAGATCACTTAATTTCATTTAAATCTAAAAATAATATAGACTAAGAACATGGTAATGGCTGTATTATTTTTAGATTTAAAATGAAAATTAGGACTTGGAATATAGATTAAAGGTAAGGTGCCTGACTAGTGTTCATGAGGCTCTGCGCTCCATCCCTAATACTTCAAAAAGAAAGGAGGGAAGGAGGGAGAGAGGGAGGGAGGCAGGAAGGGAGAGAACGAAAGGTAAATACATACAAAATGTTTTAAATTTAAAAATTAATAAATACAATAGCTTAGCATTAAGACTAGCATATGCATATGACATACCAAAATTAAAGCAAGATCAATATCTTAAGCAGACACACTACAAGCATTAAGTCAGAAGCCAAAATCAAAAGTCTCTATGCAAAGAAAAGCCCAGGACTAGATGGAGTCACTCCTGAATTCTATAAAACTTCTAAGGAAGATCTAATGACAATACTTCTGAATATATTCCACAGAAAAAGAAGGGAAGGGACACTACTAAATTCATTCTATGAAGCCAATATTATCCTGATACCAAACAAGATAAAAACACAGTAAAGAATGCTACAGACTGATTTCCCTGATGAACATGGATGGAAATATTCTCAACAAAATACTAGCAAACCAAATTCAAGAACACATTCAGAAGATCATATATCATGACCAAGTGGGTTTCATCTCTGAGATGCAAGGTTGGTTCAACATATGCAAATCAATAAATGTAATACAGCACAATAATAAACTTTTTTTGAGACAGGGTCTCTCTGTAGCCCCAGCTGGCCTGGAACTCACTCACCAGGCTGGCCTTGAGATCTGCCTGCCTCTGCTTCCCAAGCACTGGGATTAAAGATGTGTATACTATGCCTGGACCCCATCATAATAAACTTAGACAGAAATCACATAACCATCCCAATAGATGCAGTTTTAAAAGGCATTTGGCAAGGTTCAATATGCTTTCATGATAGAAGTACCAGAGACATTAGGAATAGATGCAGCATACCAGGAGCATTTCCTCTAAAATCAGGAATGAGACAAAGATACCCAGGCTCCCTTTCTTATTTTACATAATGAAGTTTTAGCTAAGAAAGACATAAAAGGAATAAAAATAGAAGAGTAGGTTAAACTATCCCTATTAGCAGACATGATATTATGCTTAAAAGGTCCTATAGAATCTACGTGAAAATTCTTGCATCTAATAAATACTTTCAGTAAAGTTACAGGATGTAAAATCAATGTAAAAAGTCAGTAGCCCTCTTGGGGTAAGTCTATAGCGCAGCTCTCTGCCCCGGGACTCCCGAAGCAACATTCACCCTTCCATCCCCCGCCTCGCCGTTCTATACTCCTAGTTTGGGCCCTGCGCCATTCCTAGTCTCGTGGCCCAGACACCTGGGGAACCAATACTGCTTCCTGACCCTTCCCACCCAGAGAAACTCAGTCCCTTTCTTGGGCTCCAGGAGCACCACTTCTGGTCCTGGCCCCGCCCTCACCTCTCTCTGCTTCCCTGGGCCTGTACCACCGGCTAACTCTCCTAGCCTGCACTACTATCCTCAGGCCTCTTGGGGTAAGTCTATAGCGCAGCTCTCTGCGCCGGGGCGCGGGGACTCCCTAAGCCACATTCACCCCTCCATCACCGCCCCCCCCCTCGCTGTTCTATACTCCTAGTTTAAGCCCTGCGCCATTCCTAATCTTAGGGCCCCAGACACCTGGGGAACCAATACTGCTTCCTGACCCTTCT